AAAAAAAAAAAAAAAAAAAAAAAAAAAAAAGAAAAAGTTCTTAGGGATTAAAATGAGATTCTCTTTTGCCATTAATCTGTACCTCCTCCTTCCCCGCTTCAAAAGTTTTCCTATGATGAATCAAAGAAAGAAGCTTTCAATGGTCTTTAAAATATATACTGCTCTAATACAATAATTCATAATTAACAGGTATACTCTCCTAACTGTGCTGTTTTATTTTCAAATTTCTAATTTTAATACCATTTAGGGCTCTAACTCTCTCTTTGATATTTTAGCAGAACCATAACTTCCAATCCATCGAGGTTTTGTTTTGTAATTAATTTCAGAGCTGTCCTTATAAACTGGGAGACATTTGAAGTACTCTAGAAAATGGCAACTGTCTGACTGGATTTGAAGTCAGATTGTTGGGCTTGGAAGCTCATTTCTGGTGGAAATATGGCTGCCCCATTTTTAGATGTGTGACTCTGGGCAGGTTACCCTCTCTCCCCATCTTCAATTTTCCTATCTATAAAATGGAACTAGTAACAGTATTTGCTTTATAAAGTTGTGAAGATTAAATGAGCTAAGACATGTAATGTACCCAGAACAGTGTCTGATAAATAATAAGTGTTCAGTAAATGCTAGTGTTAAAAAGTCTGCTGTCATCTGTTTTATGACCTCAGTAAAGTCATTTAACAGTTCAAAGCTTCTATTTTCTTATCTATAAAATGGAACTACCACCACTTACTCCTTCCAGGATTAAGAGATTCAAATAAGAAAACAATGGATATGAAAATACTGGACACACAGAAAGTACTCAAGTATTAGTTATTTTGAACCATCTATAAGCTTAAAAATAAACCATAAACTTAAAAATTTACATAAACCATAAAATTGAGAACACAGCATCCAAAAATTTATCTGTGAGAAAATGTCTAAACATGTTAGAAATACATACTCAAGTTTGGTTTTTCTTTAACTTATCAGAAACACATAAATTTTTGTAAAATGTAATTCTACATCTGCAAAACTAGAAACCCTCCCGGTCAAGCCAAACTGTCCTACTACATTGTGATCAAGAAAGTCTGCATGCTTTCATAAGCCAAAACTTGATGCACTGATTAAAATGTGATTGCAGGTACATCAACTTTTCAAAAAACGTGTAAGTTTCTGCTTTTTTAAGAGTAATAAATGTACTGTAGCTAATGTAAATTTCCAGTCAATTCAACAGATATTCATTCTGTGACACTGCTCCAGGGTAATTCAGCTGGGAACGAAGCCTGCAAAAGGACACACAGCTCAGGCTCTGTGCAGGAAGACCCCACAAATTATGGCTGATAATCTCAAAATGTTACTTATGAAAGTCATAAGGGGGTTCGTTTTGAGTCAGCAAGCAGACAAGCAGCATAAAAATATACCGAAACAGTAAGTTCTTCCCTTAGACTGAAAAACTGCCTTTTAAAAGCAAACAGCATTGTAAAAGTACAGTTGCTATCTGGAAAGCTATTGAATTTGCGCCAGAAACCAACATTTCTAAATGTAAACCTATAAAATAATAGGTATCTGTAAATGAAAGGCTGAAATAACCCCAGGAGCAGCAACACAGTAATTAGCAACTTTTACAGAGTCATAACAGGTTTCATATTCTTTCTGCCCTGGCTCTTTGAAGTTTCAGTGCAATATGTAAAAGTTTTATTACATTAGGGCCCGTCCTTGTGTGTTTTATAGGCACCAACATTAGGCAGAGCAAGCTGTACTTACTCATCATAGGATCTTTTCTAAGAAATCGTTCGATAATGTGCTAGCTTTGTGTCCAGTTTATTTTGTTACACCTGTTTTTAGGAAAATAAAAGTCACTGGAAACCTAAATCACAGAAAATACACACAGACCTACATATCCATATGAGTTAAAAATCATAAAGTAGTTTAGCTTTAAAATTGTACATTGCATATTCATGTGCACACCACTTGCAGTTGTAGACACATATGAACTCTTTACTGAATTAAAGCAAAAGGAAAAAAAAAAAAAAAAAAAGCTCAGCTCTACAATAAGCGATTACCAGAGGCAGAACAGAGTGCAGTTAATATGCTTGTTCCAGCAGATGTTCATCCCCGTAAATATTAAACATAACACAAGTTCCTCCAGGAATATGCAGGCAGTAATTTTACCACCTGAATAGTGCTAGTTGGAAACATTTCAGAGATAGTGGGGGTGGGGGGGGCAAAGAGAAAGAAGGGGGAATAACAGGGATATTGAAGCAGCCAATGGGATTTTTAAGACACCCGCAACTGGAATTAAACTGCTTCCAGCGGCGATTTACCTACAGCAGCTCCCCAGTGTGAGATCCCCGAGAAACGGAACCTGGAGTGCCCCCCGGGCTGCGAGCTGTGAGCGTGGCATAAAGGGATACCTGGGGCGCCCGGGTGGGGTGGGGAGGAGGAGTGCAACTGTGACGAGGTGTGAAGAAAGGGCCCAGAGAAATTGTGAACCCCGAGGCAAGGAGTCTCCCTGGGCTAAGGCCTCTGGAATTCCCGCACGGAGAAACACTCGTTTCCAGCCCTGGGTGTTCACTTTTCCATCTCGGTGGAAGTGGGTGGGAGAGACAGAAAGGATGCAGCCGAGACCGGGCGCAGGCGGGGAGGCTGGAGCATCCTCTAAGGGCACTTCGCAGCAGCACCAACTCCAGGGGGTCGCTGGTGCCAGCCGGAGGAGGGAGGGGGCGCAGTCGGAGGGAAAGGAAGTGAGAGGAGCAGGGGGCCCACGGGTGGATCCCCAGGCATTAGTGACACAGTCTTCAAATCGCTTCTTTTCCTCCCCACGGCTGCGCTCTGCCCCTGGCTACCTAGATCACCAGCTCCTGGGCTGGGGCGGGCCGCCGCGAGGGAGGGGGACAGGAGAGAGGGAAACAGACGGACAGGCGGCCACGCATCCCCCCCCACCCGCCAGGGAGGCAGGAAAGGGCTGGCGAGGCAGG